TAATCTTATCTGATGATTATTTGTTCTTCTAAACAATTACGTACCTATAATATGCGTAGTACCAAAAATAATAGTTGTCTTTTTTAATTTATAAATTATCATTTTCCCTGCATTCATAATGACTGGAGAAAACGCGTCGAAATTTTATTGTTCAATCTGTCAATAAAGTTAATTCGAAAATGTTTATAAATTAAATTTATATTATGGACTCTAAAATCTTCTTACATTTTCATCATCTTACGAATCTTTGGGTAGATCCAGAAGATGCTGTATTTCGTCGAATATATCAATGAATAATTTCGACGTATGTCAGATAAAATATTAAGAGATAAAATTAATGAATCGTTCGATTAAACAAACGGAATTCATTATCCGTGATGGACAAATTCTTGTGAATTTTGCCATTTCGTATGAATTTTGTACTTCCAGAAGTCGTGTTAAAAAAATGCGACGAATTTAAAGAATTCGGTTGTCCTAAAAAGAACCGTATAAGTGATTACGAAGCGATACAACTGCGAGAAATAATCAGATGCAGCCAGATTGCCGTCGCATCGATTTACAATGCAAGAGTTACAGATAATAATAAATTTGTTTATTTCCACGAAAAAAATACGACGTATATTGTCTGTAACAGATTCCCTACCAGCACTTTCGATACGTTCCAAAAAGGGAGATATAAAAAATAAAAAGGATGTTCTCCGTTGAATTTTACGATTAATTGAAAAAGTTATGAATTTTAAAAACAACAGAACTGATATTCGGTAAACAAGTTTTCCGAAAAGTCCTCGTTGAACTGTGCAGAAAGAGTCAGCCGGAAGCTCTAACGAAAGCGACGATTGACGTTAACGACGAGCAGCGAGACGAGGAACAATGAACGTGGAATCTCGATAGAGATTAATAATCGTGGTGTCAAATTATCGGGATCGGAGTCGAAAGGCGTCGAGCGAGTGGACGCCTATCCATAGCGAGACACGATCGATGATGTCGGCCAACGCCGAAGGAGGATGGTCCCCACGACGCGACGTTGGTGGCTAATCTTTCGAGCGGAAAACATTGTCAGAGACATTTCTCTCACCCGATCGCGTTTCCGCTCGGTCGTTCAATAAAGACCCACCGGCGAGCGGGTCCAAGACAAGGAGCGATAAGGAGTTAATTGCTGTGTTTTCCCACGGAAACAAAACGGATTCACAATTTATTCACGATATGGAAAATGAAAGCGGAGGATGAATCTTCTTTCCGCCAATTTTGGCGCGAAGAAGAATTATTCCGACGGAAAAAGACGACCCTTCTCGAGCGCTAAATAATGTTATGGATATAGAAATGCCGAGAAACAAAGTAGCTTATGAAGACGATACGAGAAGAAGACACTGTTATTGTTATAGAACGATCGATCTGCAACCAAAAGAGAGGAAAAAAAGAATGCAACGGAAAAATTCAAAAATCCCAGACGATTCGCGTCAAACGATTTCTAACGCTTCTATAAAATAAAAAAGGGATCCTTTATATCTACAATTAACATCAGTCTAAGGAAATATGAAAGAATGAATTTAACGACGTAGATGCTAGTATCTTTTGAAAGCCCTTTGAGGATCTTTTTAGCCAGGTTGCAAAGTCTTAAAAAATTTTTAAATGTATGAACATCAGCCCATATAATAAATTAACGATAATAATTCACATGTTATACGTACCTACTTGATATCAAATTCGCAATTCAATTCTCCTGTATATGTATATATTAAACATTATATTTCTCATATTTCTGATATCATATTATATATTAATCTCAAAATAGATTGAATATATGTTGCGCATAAAGATTTGAAACAATCAAAGTGTGTGATGTGTGTTGGTGAATGAAAATATAAATTAACATTATTAGAATGTTATATAAAGATTGCTAATACAATGATTATCAACTCAATTTTTTTGCAAGTTGTATTCCAACATAGAGTTGCCAATCAGTGACCAAATCAACCCAAAATAAAACGCAAATTGTGCATCCTTCCGAATCACTGAATTTATTCACAAGCTCGGCGGATGAATAAGCGTATGGACAATAAACACGATAGGATCAATCTTCCCACTACTTTAAGGCGTCAAAAAAATTACTGGTCAAATTTGACAAATTATACCGATTAAAATAAATCTGTTACAATACAATAAATAAGCACATAAATGTGCAAAATGTCGCTATATTGTAAATTGATACAAAATAATTGAACGTTAATATAAATTAAACGTAATTTTTTCCTTCCTCTATGCTCTCAAATTGTACATTAAATATATTTATTTTAATTATATTTTTTTAATAAAATATGTTTTAAATGTTATATTTTAAATATAATTTGAAAAAATATCAAAATATCATTGTAAAATATCTAAGAGTGTTTTTCTCTCTAATTGTAAGAGAAAATATAAAATTAGCTTAAGCTATGACAGACAAAACCTTTTCAAGTTGCAGTTATTGACTTTTGTCATGTCCACTGCACAGTGCACGTGATCGGACTTTTAGTTGGAGCAAATCCCCTGTAGAGGCACCACAAGTCACTCCGTTTCTGGATGCACTCGTAATATTTCCTGAAAGAAATCAGTTAGATGGCGTTCAAGAAAAAAAATAAAGATAAAGCTGTGTCTTCTCACGCATATATATTTTGAAAATAAAACACTTTACATATGATATCTACATTCACCTGTATTATCTGAATGAGAAATGATTGTCGACAATTCGTAAGTTGTTACTTTAATTTGAACTGTACGCACAGGTTTCCGTCATTAATTAAATGATTGGGCTAATCAAAGACATTATTAATCTTGATAATTGAAAAAAACTTGTGTGATAACGTGCGTAAAATAGAAAATAACCGATTAAACATGGAAATTTCTATTGTAGGGCTGAGACCTTGAGGAAGAGAAAATTTGTACGGATTATTAAGCAGAAATTTGGCTGACAAAATGTGCTGTTACTTGCTGGAATATTACTTATTCCATCTTTATTTTCAAAGAGGTCGCCGTGCTATATCAAGAGTCAAATTGGGATATGTGCTCTGTGGCTTTGGTATGATAGCACTACTAGAATTTTTTGGAGCATTTGTGCATATATTTGAGGTCACGTACGATGAAAACTTTGTATATCCATACGAAGGCAACGTACATGAATTTGTGAATGCTTTGCGACGTAATGAAAAACCTCAAGTCGAACCTATAAACGAATATAGATACGCTTTTATCTTAAAACAGCCACAAAAGTGTAAGGAAAATGCAGACGATACGCTTCGTCTTGTATATATAGTAAAATCGGCTATAGAAAATTTTGATAGAAGAACTGCTATACGAAATTCGTGGGGAATTGAAAAGAGATTCTTTGATGTGCCAACGAGAACTATTTTTATGGTGGGTACGCATCCGGATGACCAAGAAGTTGAGGCCAAACTAAAGCTAGAGGCAGGGATTTACAAAGATATCGTGCAGGCAGATTTTATAGATTCGTATTATAATAATACTATAAAAACGATGATGAGTTTCAAATGGTTAGTAAAGTATTGTCCCAATTCGAAGTTTTACGTGTTCGTCGATGATGATATGTATGTATCTGTAAAAAATGTAGCGACATTTATTAGAAATCCAGCTAATTATCCATTTTACTTAATGGAATCCAGAAAAGTGTACAGTGCACACAAAAGAGAAATCAAACAATCGGATTTAATGGATTATAATGACATCAATTTTAATAATAAAAGTGCAATATATGACTTAAAAATTAAAACATCTTTTACGGAAGATTCAACTATTCATGAATCTACAAATAACAATAGTTGGAAAAATATGCACGAGAAACAAGAACTCAAGGTCAATAATAGAAAAATAGAAAATAAACACTTGTTTAGACTTTTTAACAAATCTACGTCAAATAGAATAAAACGACAGCTTTTCGATTTTGAGCTGCCAGATGATATTAGACTGTTTGCAGGATTCGTATTTATGCGATCTGCGCCACATCGGCATAAATTTTCTAAGTGGTATGTCACGTTAAAAGAATATCCATATCATTTATGGCCACCATATGTTACAGCTGGGGCATACATTTTGTCTAAAGAAGCTCTATTGGATTTGTACTACACCAGTTTCTACACCAAGCACTTCAGATTCGATGATATCTTTCTAGGTTTAGTAGCTAAAAAAGCTGATATAGTACCGTTTCATTGCGAAGAGTTCCACTTTTATAAGAAAGCTTATACAAAACACAGTTATACATATGTTATAACGTCTCATGGATATGAAGATCCAAACGAACTCTTACAAATATGGAACGAACAGAAAGCTCTTGGAAACGCTTAAATTTATATAAATGATGCAAAGATATTTCGCAATATGTACTATTACACAATTTTAGATGATTAAGATGATTTCCATTTAAGAATGGAGAAGTATCATGATAGCATATATTGATGAAAATATCATTATAATTGGTATGTATCAAGTATCTATATATATATATATATATATATATA